ATTTAATTTTTGAATTGAAATGAAATATTTTCAAATATTTGGAAATGTGTGAATGAGGAAGAAATACTAAATAAAGCTAAAGTTGAGACTCAAAGAATTATAGACCCAAATTTGGGGAAAGGAGAGAAAGGCCAAAAGATAAAAAGTAGTGAGAAAGGTTAAACAGACTTTCTGTTATACAAATATGGACCTTTAATTTTCCAACCTTCCTCACTTCTTTATCTTTTGTCCTTTCTCTCCTTTCCCCGCATTTGGGTCTATAATCCTTTGAGTCCCAACTCCAGCCTTATGTAGTATTCCTTCCAACATTGCATGATTTTGCTACTTTGAGCCAAATTTGGCTACCCTGTTTTTTAGTTTGGCGTAAAAATTATCATTTGGCGCATTGGCTACTTTTTGAGCTACATATTATTTATAAATATATTACTCGAATAAAAATGCACTTTAAAATGGTGTTTTGTCATTTTTTATTATGACCCAAATAAAACAAATATTTATGTTCAAATAAATTTTTGTTTGTCTCCTTTATAATAAATGAACTTATCTATNCAATGGAGAAAAATTTAAACATGGGATATATTAATATACTATTATTAGGATATACTAATACACTATATTAATAATGTATTTTTTCATACATAATCGGTTAGCTGAAAAATCGATTTTCCAAACAACCCCAGACCAAATTCATTCGAATAATCGACTCTCTACTGTACTTTTATTTCAAATTATTTAATTTTGATATTACTAGTTATGACTGTACAAATAATTTTATTGCAACCTGAAACAGGGACAGGAATTATGGAGACAGAATCTTTCAACCAGGTTAGTTGCAAATGTAAATGGTTTTAACAGTTTTCCTTGGTTTCTATTTGAGTTAGCTTTTTTTTCAATTTGAAGTAATGAAATAAGGCAAGTCAATGCAATACATAGGCAATCTGTCAATGGAGTAACTCCTAAAACTTTTATAGGAAACTGATTCCTATTTAAGTGAAGTCATGTGAAGTAAAACCTTACTTGGCCAGCCCATTTGTCAGGTACAAATTCACGACCAACTCCACTGTTCAGTGATTTTATCTATTTCTGTGTTTTTGTTCAGCATCAATTCTCAATTCATAATAGGATTAATATTTAATTTTAACATACTCACTAATTTTTGTTGTTTGATTTTAAAAAAGTGAATGATTTTATGTTTAAAAATATGCGCACTTTTGAAACGTACCATTCAATGTAAAAAATGACAAATGCTGTGAAATCATTTTAAAAAAAATCTATGAACTTGAACTTTTTATATTTAACTTTATTTAGAATGTTAAAAAAATGTCTAAACACCATCTACACTAACTGGCATTAAAAGTAAATTGTAAAGTTTCTAAAAATACTGTATATTATTGTGAAAAAATACAAAATAATTGAAGTTGACATTGTCTCTAGCAAAAAGCAAGAGAAATAAACATTCAGCAGACTCAACAGTTCCGAAGCTGTTGTGTTTTTCTGGAAAACGCCCTCTATAGTAGTGCTCTTTTGGAACATGTTTGGTGTTTTAATGTTACATTTAGTAGTGTCTTTCATTTACACTACCTATCACTACCTGAAACTGACCAATGAGGCTGTTTGTTTCAATGCAATGTCACTGATTATTCAGCAGATCCAGGTTGCTACATAATAGCTACCGATTTGCTCAGTTACAACTGTTGAGTCTGCTGAACGCAGCCATTGTCATGTTTTGCAAAAAAAAAAAAAAATATATATTTTTGTAAACAAATTAATAAAAAGATAGGGTCAGGGCTGGATATATTTTGTAGAAATGTAGGTAACCGAACTGTATAAATTGTAAAGATATGTGAGGTAGTTTATTTATACAAGTATATCAATCTGATGAAAATTATTATATACAATGACAATGAGGCACATGTAAATATTTAATAAAAAACAGAATTAATATGATTTTATTTTAACTATGACCAATCTATCTTTATTCATTATTAAAGAGCAAACAAATAAAACAAAAATATGTGAATTTTTATTACATTAGAACAAATAGAAAGAGAACATACACACACACATAATAAATAAATTATTTAAAATGAAGAAAATCAATTGTATCAGTTTACTCACTCTTCCAAGAAATCTTGAAATAATTTTTGACAACGATCTCCCACATCATCACTCAAATGTTTAGGACCTGTTCTTGAATCTGCTACATCCATGTTTTTCGCTCCCGATCGAACAATGACTTTTCCCGCCAAATTTTAGCTGGCGTGTTGCCAGGTAGTACATCATTTCAGTTTTTTTTTTTTTTTCTTTTTTTTAAATATAAGTTATTAAAATTATCATCTTTTAAAAATGAATTCTTTTAAAATTTCAGTAATTATTTAATTCTCATATTAATTTATGAAATTTAAATAAAAATTTGTTAATAACAATCCACGAAACCTTTTTTACAAGTGTTATGTGTTAAGTGGTTGGAAGTCGTTTTGTCTTAGAAAATTTGTTATTTGATACAATTTTATATTTGAATTTGATCCATCTTTTCGGCATAGAGTTAATGTAGGCCTGTCTCTAAAAACAGTTCCAGTAGTGTTCGATTATAATCGATCTCAAGATATTTGCCTACTACTCATAAGATATCTGTTTCCAATAGTTTTTGTTTTTGTGTACGTCCGTAGACACGTTAATCCTTTTGTTGAAAATACTATACAGAAAATAACCTTAAAACTAACGAATATGGCAATAATATTCGTATTGTGTTCCTATTGCCAAATACAATGTCGTTGTTGCAACCAGTGGTCACGTGGAGTTTTTCGGGTTTTCTCCATGTCTGTAATGCCTAAATAGGGGCCAGTTATTCTTAAAAAAGACCTCCCAAAAGGCATTCTCTCTTAGGCAGATCGCCCAAGTGTTGCGTTGCCATAACTTCAGAAAACAAACAACTGTGTAACCAAGGCCTAAGTCTTGATTGTGGCTTTTTGTAGCCATAATCAAGACTTATTATATGCAAGATGTGGTAAGTTCTATTGTAAATGCCATTGACAAAGAGGGCAACTTCGAGTATCTTTGCGACAAGGGCCTGCGCGCTAAAAATTGCCGCATGAAGCGAGCCAAATTTATACTCACTTTTTCGCAGTTGCTGGTATGGTAAGGACAGTAACACTTTTTATAAAAACGAAATAAAGTATTACGAAAATTTTTATTATGAGCATTTATTTATTACAGGCAGAAAAGAAAAAAAAATATTTTCATATAAATACAGATATGTAATAAAGTTTTAAAGACTATATTTAAAAAAAAAATTATGTAAATCGACTTCTGAGTACCTTCTTTTCAACCAATTCATCTATAATATCGTCGAAATTTTCTATTTAATCGATGATAACTCTCCTGCGCACAAATAATTTTTAATCAATTTCAATTTTCAGAAGGATCGTTCTCCACCAGCAATAGACACAGGGAGGATTAAAAGCATTCTCAATGATATAAAAACATTTGAAAAATTTTCAATTAATTTATTTTTATCAATATCAAAACTTCTAGTGGCGACATTCTCTTTTTTTAAAATACCGTATTTGTAATAATTAAAAAGTCATTAAATGAATAAAATGACTTTATATCAAAATTGTTATCAATCGTCAATCCTACAATTTTTAAAAATAACTTTACAATGTTTATCGGCTAACAATGAAATATTATATACACATTCAAATAATTTACTGTAATTTTATAATTGGGAAAATCTTTCCTTCGTAAAATTTATACATATATCCACTAAAGAATCAAAAAAGCTTACTTCAGTGTTTGGAGAGGTTGACGATTGATGTAACTTCTACCAACGTAATCATATTTTATCTTTTTACGCTGAATTTTGATCTGAGGTTAAATCGTTTCTTCTCAACTTCTTTCTATTCTTGACCATAGAAAGACTGATCACTTCCATACTAGACAGTACTTTGGTTGATGAATCACACATAATCACATCGGGTTGGTTGAGTGATGACTGTTCATTTTCAATACTTTTTCTGAAATATTTTCATTGGGTTCTATTAATTGACATTGATTTTGACTAATGATTCAATTATTTCTTGTAGTTTCTCTTTGGTGTGAACATCTACTACAGCAACATTAGGAAGGGATAATGTCTCCGGCTCAACTTTTAAAGGTGGACCAAATATGGCTTCATAAGGACTACACTTAATGCCTTGATGATGTGATTTATTCATCATGAGATACAGAAATCGTAATCTCTCGATCCAGTGCAGGGGTTTGGTTATTTTCTAACCAAGAGGAGAAGCTACTGGAGGAGAATGCATTATTTATCAACTTTTACTATCCTAGACTGGAGATTACGTATAATGTCCGGTAAATTTGATTAATTAAGTACATTTATACATTTATCTTTTCTTTTATACTTTAAAATGCAGGTTTCTTTAACATTACACGTGTGGCTGAGCTCTACTACAGAGTGCCCCGCGCACTGTGATCAGGAATTAACACTTGTTAAATTAATTAAACATTTTTTAATTAAAAAAAAATATAAAATATTTTATAGTATTTTATTCAAATATGACTTTATTTAAGTAAATGAAAATTAATAAAAATTAATTAGTGAGTTGAACGATTTATTTATTTATTTCTGTACTCAAAATGACTGAGTGAAGATTATTTAATTTTATTGTTTTTCAATCAATCATTTATTTGTTATGGCTTTCGCCTTTACAAAGGGGTTACAGAACTCATAGCAACATTATTAAATACAAACATTGTTATACATAATTGTGAATAGATAATAAATAATATAACTTAAATTAGTAGGCCTACGTTAACATGTTTAATGAATACAGTAACAGAAAAATTTATAAATTTTATATAACATTACAGAACTTAAATTATCATCGTATAAACAAAACATATTATAGTCAATTGTCAAAAAAGTATCCTTTACGTGTTAGTAAATTCATAAGATACAAACAAATGATTCTTAACATTTTAAAAAAATCTGTTACATAGAGGATAATTTGAGTAAGCTGATATATTAATTCTACGCCTATTTATCTATATATATAAAAATGAATGTATGTCTGTGTGTCTGTCCTTCATGCATTACCACACCGTTTATCCGATTGCCATGAAACTTTGGGAAGTTCTTAATTAATATACTCCCGCGAAGGTTTCTGGCATGGTACATTTATCCTACGATAGATGGCGCGCGTGTATACGATCATTTCACAGTGTGTTCGATTGATTTCAAATTGTGAAGACCATTTCCCCCCCAAAAAAATATCTCTATATATATATTTGTGAACTGTTATTTACGATATTTGTAATAATTTTTGTTTAATCACTTTATTTCAACTTTTTTTTGCTAATTACGTATTCGCTTGAACTTTGTTAAAACCTTAACTGTATCCCGAACAACAACCGAAGTTGTAGGAGGAAATTCGCCTATTTTACCGATCTAGGAATCTCCCTTTTCCACATTTTAATATCGACTCAAAATAATTTAAAAAGACAAATTACAGTAAAACGGTTTATTATCAAACTATCAGAAATTTCACAACATGCCAAGGAAGAGAGGAAGGAGCAATTAAATAATTAAAATTATAAAGGATTAAAAAATATATACATAAATGGGGAATATCGCACTTCTGACAATCGCTGCAAGTGTGTGGGCTAAATTTGGAGAATCCGTGCTTCTCACATGGATAACTGTATGTGGCCAGCTCACGCGTCGGAAATCTTCTGATTTATTCGTGTACGCACCAGACGGAAAAACAAAATATCGTGTATCCACAAGCACTCCAATAAATAAATAGAATTGAAACGACACTTTGAAATGTTTTCCCGATGAAAATGAATAATAATAATAAGTTTCAATAAAAATGATAAAATGTAAATTGAATTTTATCATAACGAGTTTGCTTGAATTTCCTTTCTTCTGAGATCGCAGCAATGCGCGACGGGTAAGCTAGTTTTTTATATAAATTAATTCATATTTTTGGTTTTCAGTTCAGCAGTACAAATTTATGGAGATATTTGTTTATAAATTTGTGTAGAGAAAAAGAATTGTTCACTTAATAATGTGAGGAACTAGCTTAGTAATTATTGGAAATTCTTCCTCTGACCAGTTTAAATAAATAAAATAACTTGAACACAGTATTTTTTTTTTTAAAGATAAATAGCATA